TATTTTTCTAAGACATTTGTTTTCTACCGTCTGAAGTGTGGAGTTTCCATGTCAATCTTTTATCAAAAAACACACCTATATATTTAATTGGGTCAGGATTAAATTTAATTGGTCTACAATTGATTTTTAAGTTAGGGTAAGTTTTTGTTCTACGAAGTGTATTTTGGCTTGACATTTTTCTGTTTTGATTTTTATTCTCCACTGATTTCTCCACGATTTTAGTTCTTCCATATTATTTTATTCCAATCTTGGGCTATGAGAATGTCTTCATAAGCAGTGAATAAGGCTGTGTCATCAGCAAAGAGAGCTAATTTAGTGTCTGGAATTCGTGGGATATCTGAAGTGTAAACATTAGTTTTGGCGAGAGAACAGAGCCCTGAGGTAAGAATGCTGATTTGTTTTGAGGGGTTGATAATGTTTCATTGACTTTTACCATGACATTTCGGTTTGTAAGAAAGCCATGGATTATTTTTTGGATGTAATCAAGGACTCCCACATTTCGAAATTTATATATTAGCCCTGCGTCCCAGATCCTATCAAACGCCTGTGCAATGTCTAAGAAAACGGCTACAGTGTGTTTCTTTTCATGAAAGTTTTCGGCAATATTCCTGTTAGTCTCAGTAATTGGTGCATGCATAGTTATTGTAGTTATGAACATTAATTTATCTAATTTATATTATTGAAACATTGTATTTCATGAAAACCTTTGAAAGACGATCGATGATCGAACAAAGATAAATAAATATTTTAAAATATATCTTCGAGAAGACTCGTTTCTACAGCGAGTAAGCATGTGTAGGTATGAGGTTAGAGTTGATGAATCGAGTGTAGCGAATATGCACGGCTAGTAGCACTAATCCGATCACCTCTTATGTTCGATCAGAGTTCCCAAATTAGTGAATTTTGTTCCCAAAATGGGGATTTTTTCGTTTTGGGGAAAGAATGGGGAATACAAATGGAAGGGGACATGTTTGGGGATTTTTGGAGGAAATTATTTTCATTGATAGTAAGATAGAAATGTTATTCTCTTAATTATTAGGAATAAAAAAACATTAGACATTATTCTCTCTCTTTTTTAAGTATAGAAATGAGGAAGGCACAGAGAAAGGCATAAAGAGAAAGAAGAACACGAGAAATACGAAGACAGTATACGTCTTCGAACAGCTTAGATGACGATGATTCATTTGAATTATTTGAATTTAAGGGGACAGCCGAAAAAATTGTCTAAAACTGCTTATGATGTTGGTCCATAATTTGGAGAATATCTTGCGTTTTTAAGTTGGGAAATTTTGATTCATTGAAGAGGTTATTTGGGGAAATTCCGAAGAGATGGGAAAAGAGCTCGCAACACATGGGGCAATCCTGTGTTTGACGTAAACATATTCATGTCCACCCCTCACAAACGGCGAGTGGTAGCACTATCAGAACAGGGTATATAAATTGGGTCCGGTGGAAGCTGAAAGCAGTGCAGTGGTCACAATACATAAACGGGGCGATTTATCGGACGTGTATAAGAGGACGGTAATTAGCTTTGGGGGAAGAGTCGAAGCATTTCCAAAACGACTAAGTTTGTAAAGTGTTCGCATGCTGCCTGGTTGTATTCCGTGATTGACAAAAATGGCGATATCCAAAACCGGCGCTGAATCAACTGTGGCGCACCACGGGCCATAGATGACAGAGGAGGACGACGACTGGGGAGTTATGAAAGGGCGGATTGACATGCAAATGTAGAGCAACTGACTGCCTAGATGAACCCAGGGACTGCCACTAAGGTTTCCTCAACAATCTTTCAACAAACGTTACTGCGTATGGGCCTCCGCAGCAGGCGCGTGGTTCATGCATCCATGCTGACTGCTGCGACGAAGGCTGGAATTTGCACGCCATTACCGCAACTGGACGCCCACTGAGTCACATTTTCAGATGAATCACGTTTTCAGTTCAATCGGACAGATGACAGTTGGCGTATACGGCGTTAAACGACTGAACGCCAACACCCTGCAACAATCGCCGGAGGAGGGAGCGGAGCAGGCCAGGACCGGCCCAGGCCGGAGAAGGGAGCGCGATTGTGTGGGGGAATGTTTTCGTGGTATTCCCTGAGTGATCTCGTCATACCGGAAGGAACAATGTACCAACAGAAATATGCAGCTATCATTGGGGACCATGCAGATCCCTTGCATGCAGATCGTTTTTCCTCAGCAAGAAGGCACCTTCCAGCAGGGCAATTCAATGTCATGCAGCTCGCAGTGTAGTACGAGGTTCGAAGAGCACCATGATGAGTTTAAAGTACTCCCTTGGCCAGCAAACTCCCACAATTTAAACGCAATAGAGAATCTGTGGAAACATCGCGATAGGGCTGTTCGCGCGATGGATCCGCCCAAGAACCTCTAGAACCTAGAGCAGCTGGGAACGGCACTGGAGCCGGCATGACTCCACATTCCTATCGGTACCATCCAGAAACTAATTCAGCGTTCCTACAAGTCTCACAACGGTCAGCGCTGCAAAAGGGGGTTATCCAGGTTATTCGTGGGTGGTTACATTAATATGATTGGGTTGTGTATAAAAGTTGAAGATTGAGTGTTTTGAAATGCAAATATTACTAATGTGTTGCATTATCCAGCAAACGTTTGAAGCATGTGTACTTTCATAAAAACCAAGTCATTGATTATAATTACTAAATGTAGTGTATTACGTTTTTAAGAAAAAATGAAGAGGAGGATTCCTTCGTCTTAGAGCGCCCATCGCTGTATGCGCCCTTTGTTGTCAGCGCTCATCGACAGAGATGTGTTGATACAGAATTTCTGTAAAAAATTGTAATTTTACATAACTGTTACTAAGTGACGAGAACGTATGTGCGGTTTTAATATCACTAGTTTCTATATTTTTTCACAAATATATATTCTCTCTCTATCTATCTGTCTCGTTCACGGTCTCTATCGAGCTTTCTCGCGCTCTCTCGCGCCCTCTCGCTATCTCTCTCTCGCTCGCTCTCCCTTTCTCTCTCTCGTTCTCTCTCCCTTTTTCTCTCTCTATCTCTTTCTTTCTCTTTCTATTTCTTTCTCTTTATCTTTCTTTATCTCTCCTCTCTTGCTCTCTCTCTCTCTCATTCTGTCTTTCTCTGTCTCTCTCTTTTACTGTCTGTCTTTCTCTCTCTCTTTCACTCCCTCTTTCTCTCCCATTCTTCGTCGTTAATATTTACATTACCAGCGATTTGCATACATTATTGCATTTATGAGTGCCTTTGCTCAAAATGTCTAGTAAACTTAACCCTATTTCGTGTCAAAAGTTCGCCTATTCAGAATCGCTTTTACGAAAGTTTCTCAAAAACGGTTTCATTTTTTTTCTTTATACTTTTGGTCCGTATAGTGCTATATGCACTGAATAACATGACATTAACGCCATTTAATCATTAATCAACCATTTGATTTTTTTCAAAATTACACAAATATGTTTTAAAATTTATTACACATAGTTAATATATGCATTTTCGTTACATTTTGACAGATGATAATGATGATGATAGATGGTAGCTGTTAAGACGGTGCAGTAAAACCGGAAAGCTAGCCCAGACTAATGAGATTAGAAAACTAACTAGTACGGGAAAGTCTATGCCATTCTGTAGCAGCACTAGCTTCTAGCTGTATTCTTTTGTAATTTCCTTCTTAAGTTTGCAAATTTTTATATCCACTGTACTATTAGGATATATATATTATTATTACTCATAGTCGAAAATAGGCAATAAGATACAGGAGCCGTGCAAACACTTCGCTCTTTGAAAATCATATTTTAAAGTGAAAATAGCTTTGTTATGGAACCGAACTTCAAATTGCCAGGCTGTGAACATACTGTCCGTGATTATTCATTCTAATATTGTTAAGTGTTTGATTCACAAAAAGTCCTGTAGTTACGAAAGTTCTCAATTGAACTAAATGCAATTTTCACTGCATTCTCGATCATTTGTAGACAAGTCACTTTTAAGAATCTCTTGTAGATCGGAAATGAAATATTGAAAGTCATTGTCGTTTGATAGAACGATGGGTGTGATTTTGATTTATTGTGGTTGGATTTTAATGATTTTTTTCTTTTCCATTTAGAACAATGACTTTTAGTGTAGACATTAATTTTGTGTTATGACGAAAGGGAATGATCCATTTTTATATGACTTTTTTTCGTCGATTTTGACTAATGTCACTTTTTACCCTTTCCGCCGTTTTTAAAGCATTTTTCGCAGAATTCATCGATTTTAACAATATTTTAATGGTACTTTCTTCAAATAATATTTACGAGATGCAACAAATGTTCTGCACAGAAACCCTGAGTATCCTTTTCGATTTCTTCTCTCATGAATCGTAATGTCAGCCGTTGTGAGTGCGTAAGCTTCCTATGATGCCTATCGGCTCCTTTGTCGGTCCAACCGATTTCGCGATAACTAATGACAGAGATTTCCTGGTAAAGAATAATCTAAACCAAAAATTTGCAAGTTGTGCTCACTCAAAGAAAAGGAAGAAGGGGGAAGGATATGTTACATCAGTAACATATCCAACAGCTTGAGTTGTTCATTTGAAGTTGTTTAGATAAAAGTAATAATTTAAATAATTTTTCTTTACTTTTAGGGCATTTTAAAACCATTTTAAGATCATTTTATTGATATTTTTGGCGACATTTTAGGTTAAAAAATCCTCCCCGTAGTGATTATTATGCCATACACTCTTTTTCAAAATTTCCAGACACTACTCGTAGTCTCGCAAATAATTTTAAATGTATGTATTTTTAATTTGTACTCAAATTATTTTATTTAAACTGTTGCCAATTACTACCCGTTAATAAGCGTCTCGTGTACCGAATTTCTAAGATCCTTTTTTCCTTAATAATCAAATTAACGATGGACACTCTCCGTCTTTTTTTGTTTTAAAGAAAATTCGGACTCTTTCTGTGTTTGGAACCTTAACATCATAAGTCATTTTGTATGTACGCCTTTCAACAGGGCTGTTTTGTGTCCGCAGTATGCGAATACTTCGTGCACGCGGATTGCCAGGACTTCGCTGTGGCGGACTGCAAGGAAAACGCCACCTACGTGCCGGGCAAGGAACTGTCGAACGTGCACCACCAGCACCACTGGCGCGAGGGCAACCTGCCCAACAACTCCAAATGCGCCGTTTGCAAGAAAACATGCTGGTCGGCAGAATGCTTGGCGGGCATGCGGTGCGAGTGGTGTGGCATTACGGTGAGTCTCTCTTCTCTTTGCTGTTGCTGAAGACAACCCCAGTTTCTTACCTCTAAAACTTTTGATCTCTTGGAAACAATTGAGGTCTTTTTTCGAGAGTAGTCGTCAAATGAAACAATTTTGAATTTGTGTATTTAAAAATTGTTCTTTATGATCAACTGCTGGCCATCAGTCAGAAAAAACAGTTTTTAATAAAATATAAAGTCTGGTGGCTTGCTGGTGGTTTCCCAAATATAATCTTAGGAATATTTTCCGCTCTTCTGAAATGTCAACTTTTGGACGATGGTTGGTCTTGAAAAATATCTCGCAATTGTTTTTGAGAGTCACTCGTGAATTTTTTTACCACACTTCTTTACCGCTTGCCGATATTTTGGTAATTTAGTTCTCCGTCTTCAGGAGAGTACTATACTTTTACCATACTCTACATTCTCCCCGATGTCGCATCCCAATCCAACAAAAATTCGAAGGGTGCAACACAGAGTGGGATTTCCTGGATGTCGGGGTCGCCTAAGGAAGCAAATGCAGTTACAAATTAGTTATTTATGATATAAGTATCATAAGACATCTTATTACAATTTGAGAATGGAGAATTATGAAATGATGTCTTTACGCCCAGTTTGATAACCAATAAGAAGTTATAAGAAATTATGATACGAATTTCGTACAATATTTTATCCAATTTGTGAAAATTTCAGTGAACAATATTCATTTAAATTCTACTTTTCATACTGCAAAAGGTATCAACTTGTTAATAACAAGGTAATGAATTATTATTTTGTTAGAATTAGTAATAAGAGAATAATTTATTGTACCTAAAATTTTTTGAAAACATTCATGTCGAACAGGAAGAATATCACAGAACAAAACACATATGTTTCATAAAATTTGACTTTGAATAACTTAAATGTGTAAACGTATATTACTATAAGAAAGTTAAATAAAGATCGATCAGAAGAGATTTATAAAGAAACAATTTATGCTTGATCTAATGTCAAGAATAATATTCTTTCCTTCAGTTCTTTGTGATATTGCTACCATGGACGTTAGTTGTTTGTCCAAAAAGGAATAGGTTTTTTTTTCGTAAATCTTAGCGAGCGTGTTGTAGTTTCTAATAATCATGTGAAAAATTATCAATCACACATTACTGAATGCCACCTGAAGATGTGTCCGTGTATTTCTGGGAAGAGTCTCTCGACTGCTGACCAGGATATTTCCATCCTTTGATGTGGTATTACAGTTCGATTCCTCAGTGTATAAGTATTTCTGGATCGTAAATCGGCGGAACGAGAAGACCTGATATGCATCCTCGGGTATTTTTGATGGCAAATTAGCAGTGCATTGTTAATGCTATACAAATAAGATGGACGTATTTAACGCAAGGTCAATAAAAGGTGATAAACATTAACCAATCAAACGCAACCAATAATATTCAGCATTTTATTTAACTTCAGAAAAGGTGTGAAAAAGATCTCAAAGAACCAACTGATTTGACAGGAGTTACCAGTAATGCACTTTGATTACCTATGAGTTGTCAGTTGTTTGTAACATAGTTATGGGAAATAAAACAATAATTTCTATACATTTCATTTTATTTCTGTTAATAACTCAGGCTCATGCGCCCAGAACTTGGATTCCCAATACAGTGGCTTTTAAACGTACTTGGATTCCACTGCTAAGATAACGTTGCCTTGACTAATGAAAATACCATCGAATATTACTTGACGATGCCCCAACTGCCTTCCAATAGTTGAGTTAATGTCACTAGCGATACTATGAAGTGAAGATATTCACAAGTCATTTCTAAATAATTGTTATTTTTATTAAATCGTAAATTGTAAGTAATAAGTGAAGTATTTCATGTTGTACGCATGTACGTAGTCCTGAACGTAATCTATCTCAGCAATAAACAGATGGTGTGAATAAACAAACAACACATACAAAAAGTCGTAAGATCATTACTATAATTATTTTTTCAATTCACATAACTTACAATATTGCAACGAACGCGAGCTTTTTGATCGTAGAGAGACATGAAATCATTATTACATTATTACAAAGTTTTCCGAAGCAGTTTCTCGAAATGTTTAAACGCCTGTGCTAATTCAGCTTTAAAGTCAACTCAGCATTTGAATCAGCATTTTCTTTCTCATTTGGATTTACTGCATTTACTTTCTCAACTACGAAGTATATACCTATAAGTAGTATAAAGTTACGTAACTACCCGGAAAATCGATTTCAAGATTTCCTACAACTACAAAATTAAAGATTGAGATATTTCCTTCAAATCATTTTTTCTCCATAATTAGTTATTTTATTAGGGTCATGTTCACTTTTACTTTCTCGCACTTACTAGCGTGAGAAGAGACAGTATTTTAATCGTGTCCCGCCAATTTTACGGCACAAAAACTCTTATTACCGGGCTCTGGCAACGAAAAGTGGATAAATCTAGTTTCTAAATATAGAAAAAAATCCTCAACACGTGGTGTAGACAGAATCCATGTTTTGTGGGCCCTTGATACTGAAATATCGATTGTCGCCAAAACGTATGTCTGTCCGTTTGTGCGCGCATAAACCGTTAAACGCTAGCGCGTAAACCGTTCAGCCAATTTTCTCCAAAATTGTTATTCCCCAATCGTTTTAACTGATGTCGCAGACCCTGGAGTTTGAAATCGATATTTTGGGGGATACTTTACATAAAGCTCGTGGGACATTTTCAAAATTTTCAAATATTTGCCCTGAAGAAAATACTGGAAAGAGATTCGCTGCTCCTTCCGTCCATCTTACAAATACCTGTAGAAGTGCTCGCCTCACTGTCCTACACGTCATATTTACAGTCATCGGCACTACCTTTTTTTTGTTTTATGGTTTACTCTGAGAAGATGAAAACACACATAAAAACGTATATTATAAACCTGACTACACGCATTGAGCGGATTGCAAATAAAAACATACGCATTGACTTAAATCCTTAACAAATGGACGCATCTCCGATAACAAATCCTCAACGTTTCGATGCACAGACGACACGTGGAGCACACCATTAACTCACTCACTCACGCACTCACTCACTTTGGTGGCACATTCAACTCATATTCCGGGGTTGCAAACTTACAGAGACACTCTACATAGAGATTATATGCAGAGGGTCTCTAACTGATTGAAAATCTTATTATCCCCCTTACACTTGCTGTGCCTATTACTATACTGGTGTCCACAATTCTATCGGTTACACTAAGTGCAGATTTCACACCAACTGCGGGCCACGAGAAAAATTGAATGAATGATATGAAAAAAATAATTTCATTTAAATTATAATTACTTATTGACAATGCCAATTTTATTCTATTTTTCCTTTCTCGCTTCTTTTCTTTCCCATGTATGTATATACGTAGTATTGGGAAAGTTTTGTAATGCTGCGGAAAAAAGATTCCGAGATTTCAATGGAAATACGCATGTTGAGATTCCCAGGTACCGAAAAAGTGTTGTTTTTTTCAAAACGTCCGTCTGTCCGATTGTCCGTCTCTCCATCCGTCCGTCTCTTCATCCGTCCGTCTCTTCATCTGTCCGTCTGTCCGCCAGCACCTAAACCATGCGTAGGACTTTTTCCAAATTGAAGGAACCTCTGTCCATGTGGCTTGAGTCGAAACTTTGAAATTTTGGAAACTTTTCTTTAAATTTTGGAGTACCTTATATGAAGACCCCCCGGACATTTTTTCAAAATATACTCAAAAATGGCTCCAATTTTTTTCTTTAAATTTCTTGTAAGAATAGAGTAAAATACACTTATAACGGTGGCATAGGTCCGAGTTTCACTGTTAACTCTGAATTTTTGAAAATTTCAAAATTTGGAATTTTTTCGGCGTCTTCCACCATCTACTTAATTAAAGATAGTTATTTTTCTTTGAAACAAAATTTGTTTTCTATAGTTTATTCTTTTATTAAGGGTATGTACATTTAAAAAAAAATAGTTTTCTCGCAATATTGCGAGAGATTTGTGAAATTAAAAAAAATACAAAACAAGATTTTGACAAAAGCGGCTACAAATATTTTCTTTACTCTTTTGGAAGGGATAGTGCTTAATGTACTATATAAGATGACATAAACGTCTTATTTCTTTATTATTTTGTTTTTACAAAAATGTATTTTTTTTATTTGTCTCTAATGTTGTTAATATTTATACTAGCGGCAACTTGTTCACATTATTGTATTTACGAGTTCATGTTTTTTAAATAATGTCATATAAAGTTTCTCGAAAACTCCAGCATTTTCTAGCTCAATATTCCGCTTGTTCAGACCCGCACAAACTCCATGTTCTCATAAATGGCTCAAAAATTTTCCTTCGAAGGATATTGCTAATTGCACTCCTTAATATAACATAAAGTTCATTTCGTTTTTGTTTTTTTTCTTCAAAAATGTAATTTTTTTAAAAGATCTCTTACACTTTTAAAATGCACATTTCCAGCAATTTGTCAACACTACTGTATTTGTGAGTTAATGTGCTTCAAATGACTTTTAATGAAAAAAGAAATTAAGAAGATATCAAAAAAATGTATTTTAGGCGGCGATAAATGGCAGCTGGCAAGTATATGTTGCACGTTCGCGTAGTTAGCCGAGACTAAACGAAATAGAAAACTAATACGGGAAAGTCTGTGTCATTCTGTAGCACTAGTTTTAAATATCTCTCACGACGTAAATATGCACATTTCCAGCGATTCTTCTTTAACATTGTTAAAGTAATGTTTGAGATTAGGAAACCGAAAAATTAAGAACCTTTTTTTTGAAATGTACTTTGGGCGGCAATATATGGCAGCTAGTTAGAGTATGGGGCAAAACCGAAAAGCTGTCCCAGAACAAAGACATTAGAAAACCAATTACTACGAGAAAGTCTGTGCCATTCTCTGGCATCATTAGTTATTTTCTAACACAATTTTCGGAATTTAATTCAAATATTATAAGTTAAATTAATAAAGTGTTATAAGCAGTACAATTACAAAAGACAG